AACTTACGTGAAACGAATGATGGCAACGACTTTTGTTGCGGTCAAACTTCAATCCACCGTCATGATAAGAGGGGGCCCCCAATCAGTGGGGAATTCAATCATCTTCTTTGTCTGTATTACGCTAATGAGTGACAAAAATCTGCGAGAATCGTCGATGCCGTGGAACAAGGGCTAAGTCGATTTGGATTGCACGAATACCCATGGGAACGAGATTACACTAGGAAGCACAAATGATTGATTGATTCGATAACCCACCATAACATCTCCATTTGCGGTTCAAAAATCGAGGTTTTAGTTGTTGCCTATAACAAGTCTCCCGGATTTATTTCCTTGACAAATCGCAATTTTCTTTCCCATATTTAGACAAATATGAGTGGAGTCGAAGGCAAGCTAAACAGGTGGAAACGCTTTTGCGCATTTATCGCATTGCCAAAGCTGCAAAACTTATAGAAAGCGAAATGTCAAAAGTGGTAGGTCACAAATTATACGTGACAATCGATATTTATGGACTTGGCCCATGTGAAACGGGTGATTGTTACAAGAGTGAATTGCGAAAATTTATGAGCTCGGCCATCGCCAGGGGTGGACAACTTTTTCATGTTACTCCCACCATTTGTCTCCTCCTTTTCTTTATCAATTAGAGAGATGCCAAAGTTAAGAAAAAAAAAATTTCCCATTTTCGTATTCTTAGAAATCGAAAGGACACGTATGTAAATCTTATAGCACATGTTGCTTTCTTATTAGTGCCGTAGTTTTTTTCTCCTTTTAATAGAAGTTTCGTGTTTTTCTTTGGGTGCATGATAGTGCTTCTGCCGAATGTCTTTTTGTCAAGTATTCTAGCAGTATAAACTCTGAAGAACCTTAAATGCCGTCGGAATGTCCCTTAATATCGTTAGCATCGTTCCTCGAGTACTTCGTTCCAATTGATCATCCGATGATATTGCAAAGAAACTAGACATGAACGATCCTATCTGATCGTTTTGCTTTTATAAATCTTATTCAAGACGCATCTAGACTGTGAATAGCCAGGAAAAAAATCAGACAAGCTTCAGCGATACGACGCTCTGAATTGCATTCAGCAAAGTAGTGAATTAAATGTTAATTTCCATTAAATTTATGTGATGGTGCAAGTGCATATTTGATCTTTTTCTTCTTCCAGAGAATTTTATTTGATCTTTTTTACACCCTTCTCAAGCAATTCCTCTTTTCTTTTCTTAACAAAAGATAAAAATAGTTGGTCTTCATAATATTATTAGGAAGAATGACATAAATAGCCCCTCAATTTTGACTTAATGTTCAATGTCATCTTTTGACCTTGTAATTCGTTCAATGTTATTTTTGAACTATTTTTAAATATTCGATCTACTTCTTAATTTTTCAATTTGTTCAATCTAGTCCGTCAATTTTCCGTAACAAAGTCAAATAAGTCATTCGATACTATCAACGAGTTTTCATAATCATACTATAGCCCAGATTTTATAGTATCTTTTCATCTCAAATCCAATTCCATGGAACCAGTCCCATCAAGCTTCACTTGACACCCAGCCACAACATCTCTGCTTGGCCGAGTCACCTGCAGCAAACCCAACGACTTCTAGTGCTCCACACGATGGACCTCCATCTGCATTATTAGACTAGTTGATTTCATTAACTAATACTTTGCAGGTTTCCTAGCATTATTGTGGCTCTAGTGGCATTAACCCAATTATTCCCAACATTCCTAATCTCGACGACGCAAGTCTAACAACACCGGCTTTTGCTGCCATCCCCCTCCTGACAATTTAGAGAGGAATTTAAACTGGGATTGAGGATGAAAAGATCGCCCAAGCTGTACCATTCGATACAAACTTTCCATATTGGTTTTTGTCCATCAAAATTCCCCTTCCATTGCTACATCAATTGCAATTTTGTCCTTGCAAGTTGGAAAGAAAAATTCTTTCTTTCCCTTTTTTGGGGTTGACTGATTAACGCTTGCCACCAATCTTTCTTGTCAAAGTTTGTTACCAAATCCATCTATTGAAATTCTCTCCGTTCAAATATCTCACCAGCCCATTCGCAATTCTTTCTTGAAAGTTCTCTCCATTCAAATATCTTTTGACCATTTTTGTTGCACTTTTTTCGACTTTTGTAGATAATCGAATGCAATCAAATCTCTAGCCACCCATTGCTTGTCCAAGTTCATCCATCACTCAAATTTCTGTTGATCCACGGTCAATCATTATCTTGTGCCCGTCTCAATTTCCCTACTTGACATTATTACCACCGAATGTGATGCAAAATGGTAAGCTACTGGTGACGAAATACTAAAAATGCGAATACACAATATTAGCGGTTCGGTCCGAGTGAGCGGGTGGGTGGTTCCACACCTAGAACTAGAAACCAAACCGATACCCACCGATTCCAATTTATTGGAACCGGGAACCGATCCCTTAGGAACCACCGATTCTGGGTCGATTCGATCTGATTCCAGGTGGTTCTCGGTTCCTTTGTACACCCCTATGAAAATCCCAAACTTTAGGTCTTGTCCCAATTTTACGGTCCAGTCACAATTTTACCCTAAAATTTGTACAGTCTCATAAAAAATCACAAATTTTTACTTGAGTCACAAATTTGCCTCAATTTATCCTTCGTTCAAAATTTCTCGTGGACAACTGAGAGATAAAAAACTCCCAACCACGAGCTATTCGAGTGTCCTGAGTGCGAGCTCTTCAATTACAAGAGATAGAACATTCTCAAGCACAAGAGATTGACAAGCGCAAAATCACTAAGGGCGATTTTGACAGAGGGTTAATAGAAAACAGATTTGGGACTCAAATAAAAGTTGGTGATATTTTATTAGACAAAAAAATTAGAGTGAAATTGAAACTGGATCTAAAAGTGTGATTTCTCTGTGAAACAAAAAAAAAAGTTTGAAGTAGAATTGGTACTGAACCTAAAGTTGAGAGTTTTTTATATGACAAAAGGTAGAATTGAGATAAGAGCTAAAATTTGAGGTTTTTTTGGGTAGTAGGGCAATATAATAGTAAAAATATAACGTCCTTTAGAGTTATATTGGATTCATAGTACTTTTCTTTTTAAAAAAATAAGCGTTTTCATAAGTATATTTAATAACAATATCAATTTATCTACATATTTCTCATACTTATATTAATCAAAATCTTGGTACTAATATTTTTAGATAGATTAAATTTCAAGTTGTCGTGTTTCGTGTTTTCTTAATTAGATTTAGTTAAATCTATAAATTAGAAATTTCAAATAGCAAGAACATCAATCGAATACACCTCTAAAAAGGTTCTACTTTTACTATTGTAGAGATCATAAGTAAAAATATTATTAAATGGAATTATTGAAATATTTACAAAGACAAAAAAGTTAAAAAAAAAAGTAATAAAAAGATAGACATACTTTTTGTTGATTTAGGAAATAGATTAACATAAAAAATTTTTAAAATTTGGGCAATAATTTAACTACGAAAACTTTTGACTTTTTTATATAAAGTTGACAGACTAGATTGAACAATTGAAAAGTTAGGGTCTACATTAAATATTTAGGAATAGTTCAAGTACCATATTAAACGAATTAAAAATTCAAAGATGATATTACACGTTGGCTAAAATTTAGAAACTATTTGTACCATTTTCACATATTACTACTATAGTTAATGTAGTTGTGAGTTTGATAATGAACATGCCAACCTAGTTCGCTAATTATTTAGAAGGGATGTGACTATATAATTTGGTTAATCTATTCTTAACAATTCATCCCAAATTAAGCACAATCCATAGACATGGAGAAATTACTCATTTCCATGATTTTTGGCTCAAATTATCTTTGCTAAGCTTCTTACTTAAATAGTTCATGAAGTGAATAACTTTAATTTGTAAATCAATAAATTATTCTCACTCAAAGACCATTCTAAGAATTTCATAGTTATTTACCAAAGAAGACAATGAATTCCATCGGAGGGTTTCCCAGAAAGAAAACCAGAGGTGGACCCATAAACCAGCTATAAAGTGAAAACTTTCACGTCAAGATTTGAGATTGCGATGAACCAAAGAGTTTTTTAGGGCTAGAACAGAGGAGAAAAGGCAGCATTTGAGGAGGCATCATCACCTCCAATTCCATTAACAACAGAGCTCATTGATGGTGTTCCTCCTTGTGGGCCTTTTCCCCAGATACATTATTATTATTATAATTATTATTCTCTTCTCCTTTAGTTTTTCCCACCTTTTCCACTTTAATTTTCTGTGGACAAACGATCCAGCTTCAGATTTACTGGTTGAGCTCCATGATCATTGATTCCCCCTCCAATTTCAACATGTGGGCTCCGCCCCACACCTCCTAAACATCATCTCCCTCACCAAATAATCTCCAACAGTGCCAAACTTGGGGAAGTATCATATGTGTTTAGTGGATCGCTTCATGATCTGATCGCGAAATTAAAGTTGATCCTCACGTGGAACCGAGGATAATCAAACCTCAGAACTCTCCACCCTGTCCTACACAGTAGTTGTAAGACCCTCATACCCATATATTCGTTTTTCATGGAGAGGCCCTTTTGCTTTTGTTAAATGATAGTTTTTCCATACACAAGCATGACTGATGTCTCCAATCAGAGACAAACTCATTCCTCCATATGAGTTGGGGAGGACCACTGTAGCATAAAGTCGAGCACAAAGTATCTAGCATCCCATTCTTATACCCTCACTCAGTCACTCACGCCTTGAAGATTAGAACCGAAAAGAAAGACATTCTCACGCTCACTGACAGGACACTGACCGAGTACAACTCTTTTGAGTCTTGGATCAAGCACTACAAGCTCCCACATACTTTCGGTTTAAGCCCTGAGGCACGGATCCTTGGACATAAGACTTTGTCTGTGGAGCCCAGCAAATCCTTTTGACCAAAAGTCAGATCAAGATCAATCTCCTCGCTCAAATTTCACACACACTCTCTCTCTGTCTCTCAGTGCATCTCCCCCACTCGATTTCAACCCCAGCTCTTTTCCTTATTCCTCTGCACGTTCACTCCTTTTGCATTTGCGAAAAAAATATAAGGAGGGAAGAAGGGTTCTTTGCCTTCTTTTCCTAAAGCTTCCCTCCTCTGCTTTGCACCAACAAAGTATCATCATTCTTACACATCCCCTCTCTCTTGCTCTCTTGGAAAACCCACTATTGCTTTCTCTGCCGCTCTCACTCTCATTCTTTCAAACGTGTTCCAGAAGAGTTGCTTCTTCAATGGAGACCAACCCAATTCATCTAATCTACCATGTCTTTTTCATCCTCATTGGACTTGTCTCTGTTTCCACAGCCGAACAGAGCACTTCCTCCATGAAAACGGATGCAGAAGCCCTGATCTTGTTCAAGAAAATGATCCAGAAGGACCCAAATGGAGTGCTATCTGGGTGGCGGCTCAATCAGAATCTTTGCACTTGGTATGGAGTCACATGTTACTCAGGGAGGGTCACTCAACTTGATCTTAGCGGCCAGAGTCTTGAAGGGACGATGTCTTTCGACCCTCTGAGGTCCTTAGATATGTTAACTGCACTCAATCTGTCATCAAACTCCTTCGCTATCAATTCAACCTCCTTGCTTCAGCTCCCCTATGGTTTGAAACATCTTGACCTTTCTTTTGCAGGCCTCCTTGGCCTGGTCCCTGAGAATTTCTTTTCCAAGTGCCCCAATCTCATCGATGTCAACCTAGCTTTCAATAATTTAACAAGCTCGTTGCCCGAGAATTTCTTTACAAATGCTGATAAGCTTCAGGTTCTCGACCTGTCTTATAACAATCTAACCGGATCAATTTCAGGACTGAAGATCGAGAATTCTTGTGGTTCTCTATTGCAACTTGATCTTTCCAGCAACCAGTTCAACGAGTCCATTCCAAGCTCCTTTTCAAACTGCACCAGCCTCCAGACAATGAATTTAGAAAACAACATGTTCACTGGAGAGATTCCTCGCTCATTTGGGCGACTTGCTAGCTTGCAAAAACTCGATCTCTCTCACAACCATCTTACAGGGTGGATTCCTTATGAGCTGGGAAACGCATGCAACTCGCTACTCGAGCTCACACTTTCCTTTAACAACATCTCGGGGCCAATTCCATCATCTTTCTCATCATGTTCATGGTTGCAGAGCATTGATTTGTCTAACAACAACATATCAGGCCCCTTTCCAGATTCTATCCTTCGGAATCTTGGTTCCCTCGAGAGTTTGCTATTGAGCAACAACATCATCGCAGGGCCATTTCCTGCTTCCCTCTCATACTGCAAAAAGCTGAGAGTCATAGATTTCAGTTCCAACAAGTTTTCAGGTATCATACCACCTGATTTATGTCCCGGAGCCGCCTCGCTCGAGGAGCTAAGAGTTCCCGACAATCTCATCACCGGAAAAATCCCACCTCAATTATCTCAATGCTCACAGCTCAAGAAGATTGATTTCAGCTTGAACTATCTAGCTGGCTCAATTCCAGCGGAGATTGGGATGCTTGAGAATCTGGAGCAGCTAATTGCGTGGTTTAACGGCCTGGAAGGCGAAATCCCACCAGAATTAGGAAAATGTAAGAACTTGAAGAATCTCATCCTTAACAATAATCATCTTAAGGGTGAAATCCCAACAGAGCTGTTCAACTGCAGCAATCTTGAATGGATATCACTCACAAGCAATGAACTGACCGGTGAAATCCCACGTGAGGTCACGCTTTTGTCAAGATTGGCCGTTCTGCAGCTGGGGAATAACAGTTTGAGTGGTCAGATCCCATGGGAGCTGGGAAATTGCAGTAGCTTGGTGTGGTTAGACTTGAACAGCAACAAATTAACAGGAGAAATACCGCCACGCCTGGGGAGGCAGCTCGGAGCAAAAGCTTTGACTGGTATTCTTTCTGGAAACACCCTCGTATTCGTAAGAAACGTGGGCAATACATGCAAAGGTGTTGGAGGTCTGCTGGAATTCGCCGGGATTAGACCTGAAAGGTTGTTGCAAGTGCCGACCTTGAGAAATTGCGACTTCACAAGAATGTACTCAGGTCCAATCCTGAGCATGTTCACAAGATACCAGACAGTGGAATACCTGGACCTTTCTTACAACCAGCTCCGAGGGAAGATCCCAGAAGAGTTTGGGGACATGTTAGCTCTGCAGGTTCTTGAGTTGTCGCACAATCAGCTATCTGGAGAAATTCCTTCATCGCTTGGCAGACTAAAGGATTTAGGGGTGTTTGACGCATCACACAATCGACTGCAAGGCCAGATTCCTGATTCCTTCTCAAACTTATCTTTCCTGGTCCAGATAGATCTTTCCTACAATGATTTAACAGGGCAAATCCCACAGAGAGGGCAACTAAGTACACTTCCTGCTAGCCAGTTCGAACACAATCCAGGACTTTGTGGGGTTCCGTTACCTGAATGTCAGAATAACGAACCAGAAACAAACCCAGATGGGGGCGTCGGCACAAAAGGAAGAGCGAAGCCAGGGACTGCATCGTGGGCTAATAGCATCGTCCTCGGAACTCTACTTTCCGTTGCTTCCATCTGTATTTTGACTGTATGGGGGGTAGCAATGCGTGCAAGACGAAAAGAGGCAGAGGAAGTGAAGATGCTGAAAAGCTTACAAGCAGCACATGCAGCCACAACATGGAAAATTGACAAGGAGAAAGAGCCACTGAGCATCAATGTCGCAACCTTCCAGAGACAGCTGAGGAAGCTGAAGTTCTCCCAGCTAATAGAAGCCACAAATGGCTTCTCGGCAGCAAGCCTCATTGGTTGCGGCGGGTTCGGCGAAGTGTTCAAGGCTACGTTGAAAGATGGCTCAAAAGTTGCGATAAAAAAACTCATAAGATTGAGTTACCAGGGCGACAGAGAATTCATGGCTGAGATGGAGACATTGGGGAAAATCAAACACAAAAATCTAGTGCCTCTTTTGGGTTACTGCAAGGTGGGAGAGGAGAGGCTATTAGTATACGAGTTTATGGAATACGGTAGCCTAGAAGAGATGCTTCACGGGAGAGTCAAAACTCAAGATCGGAGAATACTTACATGGGAGGAAAGGAAAAAGATAGCACGAGGGGCTGCGAAAGGACTGTGCTTCCTACACCATAACTGCATCCCCCACATCATACACCGGGACATGAAATCAAGCAACGTATTGTTGGACCGAGATATGGAAGCAAGAGTTTCTGATTTCGGAATGGCCCGGCTTATAAGTGCTCTCGACACGCATCTAAGTGTAAGCACGCTAGCCGGCACACCAGGTTATGTCCCACCAGAGTACTACCAAAGCTTCCGATGCACGGCAAAAGGAGATGTGTATTCGTTGGGCGTCGTCCTATTGGAACTACTGACCGGAAAGCGCCCTACCGACAAGGAGGATTTTGGGGACACCAACTTGGTGGGGTGGGTGAAGATGAAGGTGAGAGAAGGGAAGCAGATGGAAGTCATAGACCCGGGATTGCTATCGGCAACCAAAGTCCTGGAGGAAGCGGAAGCAGAAGCGGAAGCGGAAGTAGTGAAGGAGATGGTGAAATACATGGAGATATCACTGCGGTGTGTGGATGATTTCCCTTCCAAGAGGCTAACCATGTTGCAGGTAGTGGCCATGTTGAGAGAGCTTGTGCCTGGCTCCACAAACGGAAGCAGCAACAGCACCTGAAACATCACGAACTGTTAATGTTCTCTTTCTTATTGTTTATGGTAAGAAGCTAGTGTCTGTATGTTTTATTCATATGTTAAGAATTAAGATAAGATCTTTTATGTATCAAATTCACAACAATTCCACTCTGCTGATGAACGTCGAGTGCCTATGCCATGACCCTCTCTACATTCAAGCCACGTACTTACCCAAATCGCATAGCTAAAGATTTAATTCCACGAATTCTTCTACCTAATGAAAGGGCGTTTGGACCTTTGGGTGCGGCATTTACTCAAACAGGTGAAGGTCATTGTCGAGAACACGGAATAACATGCCAAGAAAGCAGGCATCACTCAAACCAAACAAATATATATTGGTGAATTGCCATGAAGAGGTCGATGAACACTAACCCATTACCCATATGGACTGGAAGAAGACGACTGGTTGAGATTTTAGCAATAGTAAGTTATGATCAGCAGGACATTTTACCTTAATAATAGACATGATAGTCCAGCTGAAATTTCATCAAGATAATGGGAACCAACAGTGGAAATGCAACTAGAGCGACAATTTTCTTGCGAACTAATTTAGATTGGGGAGGGAGCAAGAGTTTTGGGCATTCGTCGAAAAGGGTCGATTTGGCTTTTGCTGCTAACGAGTGCATCAAGACCGTAAGCTGAGGTGGAAAGAACAGGAGAAGGTGGAGCGAATTTGGAGCAATCTCAGGGTACCACGGAAAGATTTAGCGAATTCTTGTTGAAACTCGTTTCAAACAATAAAGGAGAACTCACAAATGAAAGTAACCAAATGCGAGTCATCAAATGTGAAACGTTTAACTTTCATAGCAATTTAAAAAAATTAATACTATATAAAAGTTCAAGCTATTAACCAAGGAAAATTAATATTATCTAACTTTTTTACCAATGTGTAATTTCATCGTTGGCCATGTGTTCAATCTGATCCATTAGCTTCCCGTAGCAAATTCAAATCAGTCGTTTGATACTATTCACAAGTTTTCGTAATTATACTTTTTCCTAGATATTATAATTTCTTTTCGTTTCAATCATTTTCCCGAATGCTATTGTATTTTTACTTTTTAATCTTTATAAATATTGCGATAATTTCATTTAAGTAAATTTTAAGCTTATGATCTCCACGATAGTAAAAGTAAAAGCTCATTAAGTATTGTATCAGGTTAATATTGCTGCTCTTTCAGGTCTAGAAGTGTTTTAATAAGAATGTTTCGCAAGGACATTAATTTATCGATAGATACTCATACTTATATTAATATAAATCTTGTTCCTTATTTTAGTAGGATGTTAAAGAGAGATGAATATACTTCGACATGAATGTCCTTTTAAATGCTTAGAATTAGAAATAAACAATGGCATAAATGAAAAGAAAAGGAACGGAAAGTTCGTTAATAGTTAAGATAATCACTCAAACTCGAGGGGCCGATCGAGTGATAAACCTGAGAACGACTGGGGCCTAACCCACCCTATCAACTTTGGAAAGATACTTTTATTAGCTCTTTAGGCTTGACGTTGAGTCTCACTGCTTGGCCTGCAATTTTTTACAGCCTCGCCTTGAGTTCTCTCTCCGATCAAGTTTATCTCAAAACAAAACATATTGGCTCCGTTTGTTTCGCTAAAAATGAATGATTTAAAATTATTTTCCTAAAAACGATCACTTGTATCGCTTATAAAAATGGATGGATGAGAAATATTTTCATCGTCCACAAAATGTTTGGACATGATATATTGTCAATAATGAAAGCATTTTCTATTGACTAAGTGATTATTTTAGGAAGATATTTTTCAAATCATTTATTTTTCACGAAATAAACGAAGCCGAGGAAAACATTTTCATCATATTTTGACATTTGGTTCGCTTAGGAAAATGAGTCAATAGAAAATGTAACGGAAAACCTATGCTTAAATTCAGGAAATTAAATTCATCTTTATAAAATCAGAAATCATTTTCTAAAATATGAATAGATATTGGTGCTTGGACTCGAAATTATACGCTTGAGCACGGAAACCCCAACATTGTCCCCAGCGTTCAGGGCCAGGTCTCCGGTGCCCAGGCCCAGGTCCATCAAGGCCAAGCTCGCAACCCCAGTGCCCGTACCTAGGACCCTAGCGCCCGTGCCTAAGTCCATCGAGGTCAAGCCTGGGCTTGAAGCCCTGATGCCTCTATTCAATGCTCTGGCACTCGAGCCTAAGTCCACGAAGGTCGAGCGCAGGATCCCAATACCCGAGCTTGGATCCTCAACACCCGAGCCTGGGTCCATAAAGGTCGTGCTAGGGTCCCTGACACTTGAACTCTGGTCCTTGGCACTTGAGCTTCAGTCCACAAAGGCCATGCTCGGGTCCTCAGCACTCAGGCTTGGGTCCCTGGTGCCCGAGCCAGGGTTTATCAAGGTTAAGGCCTGGGACCCCAGTGCTCATGCCCGAGTCCATCGAGGTCGGGTCCGAAACCCCGTGCCTTCGCTTGGGTCCATCAGGGCCAGGCTCAGTACCCAGTGCTCACACCTCGGTCTATCAAGGCCGGGCCTAGGACCTAGGTGCCTATGCCCGATCTCCGGCTCCTAGGTCAAGGTCCATCAAAGTCGAACCCAAGACTCTGGTGTCCATACCCGATTCCCGATTGGTCATACACAAGTTACTAGCACCCGAATAATGTATATTTATTGAGAAAAATCTAATCAGAATTTCCACACCAAATGACAGAAAATATTTTCCAGTTCATTTTCGAGTTTCAATAAAATACCGAAAAATATTATCATTTTCTTGAAAAATAATTTCCAAAAATGTCATATTTTCCACGAAACAAAAGGAGTATAAGTAAGCACCAAACTAAATAATTTTGTTTTCAACTCTTTTTTATGTTATTATGATACCATTTTTATTTCCTTAAATATTCGGCTAGGGACAAAATTACATTTTTAGAGATTTAGCTAGAAAGGGAATAAATAAATGGGAACGTCCAGTGTACTTTTCACTTGTTCAAAACCCACGTATTTTTGTAAAGCACAAATCAGAATCCTTTGGATAAATCGCTAGAGGTGAATTTACATCTTAAATTCACCCTAGAGGGATAATACATCTATTGATATCTACTTGTGAGTTACATTAGAGAAGTTTCACATTGGAGAATTTATGTGGTGTGGAGTAGTTAATATATTCTAGTTGGCCTATAACTCATAAGCTTGAGCTTTTAAGTGAAAATATGTTGACGGACTCGGACTTAAGCTCCTTCTTGGTGATTTTCCCAGATGAAGGTATCAGGCTTTTGCTACGCGCTCCTAACAAATGGTATCAGAGTCAATGCTAGATTGGTAAGCCCTTAATCTGTTCAGGTGTTTGGTGAATATCTCAAGGAAGGAATATGATGACCAACACGGTTTTCAGGCAGTGGGCATTGCGGTGTAGTATTGTGGGCCCGATAGCAAACTTCATGGTTCAATCTGGAAAAAGAGACCAAGGATAAAGTTGGGCGTTGATGGAGATTCAAGTTGAGATATGTTTATGTAAAAAAACAAAAAAAAAACATGGTTTAAGGGGGAGCAGACCTAACATTGAGCTCATGTGTAAGGGGGAGATTGTTGAAATGCACGTGTGAGTTGTGTTGGATAAATTCCACATCAAAAAATTGGTGTGGTGTGAAGCAGTTAATATACATCTTAATTGGCGCATAATTTATTAGCTTAAAATTTTAAGTAAATGTGATTTTAACTAGATATGTTGATAGGCTCGGACTTAGGCTCCTTCTTAACGATCTCTCTTGATGAAGGTATCAAATTTTTGTTCTGTGCTCCTAACAGCATCAACCAAGTCAAATTTAATGGCTAAAATGAGTTCTCTCATCTATTTTTTTGTTTTTTTCCCTCTTTTCTTTTTTTATTTTCCTTCTTTCAATTTCTCCTCTTCCCTTCTCGTTTGTCTTGTTCTTCCTTCTTTCTTGTCCCCGAGTTCCTTTTCCTCCTCCATGCATGCCACCACCTCCTCCCTGTGCATCATCATCCCCATCTTGATGCAACGACCAAATCATAGGCCACTTGATAGCACTCATAACGTTGTAGCCACGACCTTGCCACCCCCAATACTAAGCCTCCCTCCGTCTCCGCCTTTGCATGTGCCTCTCTCTTTCTCTCTCTCTCTCTCTCTCTCTCTCTCTCTCTCTCTCTCTCTCTCTCTCTCTCTCTCTCTCTCTCTCTCTCTCTCTCTCTCTCTCTCTCTCTCTCTCTCTCTCTCTCTCTCTCTCTCTCTCTCTCTCTCTCTCTCTCTCTCATATCAGAGATTGCTGACCTTAGGCAATCATATCTAAGGTCACTTGATATGATGTGTTCCAATGGTCGCCACCCCACAGATTAGCTGCCTCTATGCTGTGTTCCTTAACACGCGCGCGTACGAGAGAGAGAGAGAGAGAGAGAGAGAGAGAGAGAGAGAGAGAGAGAGAGAGAGAGAGAGAGAGAGAGAGAGAGAGAGAGAGAGAGAGAGAGAGAGAGAGAGATGTTGGAAGCGTGAAACAGAAGTCCAATACCTTTACTTGGGGAGATCGCTAAGAAGGAGCCCAAATTCGAACCCGTCAACATTTTTATTTGGACTCACCTTTACTCAAAAACTCAAGCCAATGAGTTATAGACCAACTAGGATATATTAGCTGCTTCACACCACACCAATTATAAAATATGGATTTCTAACACAACACACACGTGCATTTTAACAATCTCCCCTCATGTGTGACCTTAGTGTCAGGTCTACTCCCCCTTAATCCATGTGTCCTTCTATGACAAGATATCTCCACTTGAATCTCCATCAACACTCAACTTCATCCCTAGTCTCTTTCTCTAGACCAAACCATAAAGTTTACCATCAGGCACACGTTGCTACACCACAACGCCCATCGCCCGAAAATCGTGTTGGTCACCTGATTCCTTCCTTGATATATTCACCAAACACTGTAACAGATTAGAGGCCCACCAATCTACCATCAGCTCTTATACCATTAGTTGGGAGTGCGCAGCAGAAGTCCAATTCCTTCACTTAGGGAGATCACCAAGAGAAATCCGAAGTCCGAGCCTGTCAATATATCTAGTTGGACCCACCTTCACTAAAAAAATTGAGTTGATGAGTTATGGGCCAAGTATGATATATTAATTGCATCACACCATACCAATTATCTTATGCGAGACTTCTCCAATACAACTCACATGTGCATTTTAACAAGGGAAAGGGGGGGGTGGTTAAGGGTTCAGCGAGTGGGGTTGCGTGATTTTCCTAATAATGTCAAGACATTTTTACAGATTTGTGGTGTGACGTGGTTAAATTTGGAATATTAAATTTATCGCTTATCTGTCAATTATCTAGAGGGACATATTTGAGACACAGAGGTTCCACAGAAGTAAATCGGATCTAGGTTTTATATCATTGAAGTTTTGTGGTTTTTTTCTGTTTGTTTTGTATGTTTCATTCTTGTGTTGAACTAATCCACAAACGAGTTGTTGTGCCCCTCTCCGTAACTCACTTCTTAAATATGTGAAGTACAAAGAAGCAAGTTCAGTTCTCAGAAGAAGGCCGGGCAATTCTTGGGTAGATGAATTGATCTCTCAAGGTAGTTGGCCAGGACATGTTGCATTTCTCTTATTTCCACTTTAGTTAAAACCAACTTAGCTCAGGTGAGCGTAGACTTTGGCGGACGATCAAAGTTATGCTCTAGTGGTTAACGGAGGCACTATCGATAAATCACAAGCATGGAGCCTCTAATTCTTGTTTAAAAGAGATCGCAAGACCGGTCATTCCATGTGAAGTTGCGATAGATTTGCAAGAGGAATCATATTCTGATTAATCATGCAAATAGTGATGAGTTCTTACTCGGTTAAGTCATTGCCTCATCTGGGTCATCCCCACATTTTTAATCTCTAGGCACTTTGTGTGTGAGCAGAAAAAGCAGACTATATGTTAGCATCCTCCTCCTCGTTTGCCTTTACAGTCTTCAAGGAACTTCTAGCCGGTTTCCACATGCCTCTCTCCTCAACATGTCTCATTTGGACATGATGGGATGCAAGAAGAGGAAGAGGGGAGAGAGGGTTTTCAGGTTCAAGACATTCGGAGAAAATGGGTACCCAATTGAGTTTGATGGGTCGTTTCTTGAGAATGTGAAGGCACTTCTTGAATTAGGGCAATCTGAGAGCAGCTCATGCATTGGAGTACCATGCTGGTCGTTTGAGCTCGAGATCAATCGCCAGCCACCTCTTCATATCTTGCTTTACGTGATTGAAGAGCCAATTGAGGCTTCGCTCAGCCATCACTGCAAGCACTGCTTATACGTAGGTAATACCCTTAAGAACTCTATTTTGGTTTCATATACTCCTAAATATGCGAGTGGACAAGAATAAATCGACGATTTTGGAAACCACCTAAGTTTAGAAAAATCATAGGATTTATCACAATAATGAACTCCACGAGAGACTCACATAATTTATGAGTTTTGACTTACTAGATGTTCGTGTTTCTAATGTGCTCATTAACTTCTCTCAAGTTTTCGTCTTGCACGTAGAGAAAATTTGATTGCTTTCCTTACCAAAAAAAAAATTTGATTGCTTTAGAGTAAAGATTGCAATTACCTTAGTGTAATTTTTTTCTCTGCTCCAATGAGATAAAACTGGAGCATAGGTCCTTTCTTTTGTTCATCATTATTCCGTACGGCCGATCACCAAGGGACCAATTGAATCTTATGTCGTTTAATGATAGTTAGAGTATACCTCTCTCATCTCAACATGGATATGAATCTATGTTTTATTTGTTGATCTCAATAGAATTACAGAGACACATGAGACTATGGGAAAAAATTACAATTCATAACCTATGATACAAGCATAATTAGTAAGACTTGGATGCCATATTCACAAGAATAAATCTTTAATGACAAATACATTATCAAAGGATGCAAATCGTAATTTTTTTCCTTTGTATGTGTAATTTTGTTGAGTCAGTTCCGTGTTTATTATCTTCACTTGATGAATTTGTATATCAATATACTTATATACTTGCTACTGATATACTTGCGGTTCAGGCTGGGGTCAACATCTAATTTGCAACAAGAAGTATCACTTCTTGTTGCTCTCCAAGGACATAACACCTGCTTCATTGATCTTCAAAGGTGACTCAATTAATGCAAATCCAATGAAAGTTAAGTTGAACTTAATGGAAGCACACGGCCACACCATGCATGGCGTCTTCCACTCGAACGGGTTCGGACATTTGATGTGCATTAACGGGTTGGAATCGGGTTCGGACTTGCCCGGCTTCCAGATCATGGACTTTTGGGATCGATTGTGTACTGGTTTAAAAGCAAGGTTTGCCTGTTGATTATCTATTCCTTTCGATCCTAGAAAACCATGTGAATTGGTGTGTATATGCACTCGATGTGATGAGGTCTCAATAAATGAAGCATTATCAAGTTATGTTCTTCCTTAGAAGAATTTTTACCCATTCAAAAACAATAACTTGCCTTTTCTTTAAAACGAAAAGATTCTAAATGCAACTTTAGCACATTATCAATCTGCGCATCTATAGTCCTTTCCTATGAATAGTAATTAAGTCCCTTTTAAGTATAGATGCACACAGTTGTATGCTAGCGCCATTAATTAAAGAGAAATGCTAAAGACACTAAAATTCGAAACATCTAGTAAAAATTTTAAATCCTTCAAAATTCATTTTACAATTGAACTCTTGTTATGAACGCTCTTACGTGCATATGTCGCTCATTCGAAGCAAATCTTTGATGGATGAGTATTGCTGGTCTCGAATATGTACGGATTGTCGCAGCTCATTTATCTTTTCATTTCCTTCAAGCCATTGCTCTATCATATGCCTACTTATTGCAGCGCTTGACCATAATACGATTTATCTACAAAGAATTCGACTCATGAACATTTAACAAAGAACTTTCTTCTAATTTTACAACGTTTCCTCTGATAAACGTTCGTTTGATAATGAAATAACCTATCAACTATCAAGCCATGGCATGAAAACTTTTGTTCTCTCTTGTTTGGTAGGAAAGTGAGTTTGAATGACGTATCCAATAAAAGAGGCATGGAGCTGAGGTTACTTCATGGATTAGCTTATGGCGAGCCATGGTTCGGTCGCTGGGGTTACAAATTTGGCCGAGGAAGCTACGGCGTCACTCTTCCCATGTACAAGAAAGCCATAGAAGCCATTCAAGGCATGCCGTTAACTCTACTTATCCATCACTTGGGAAACTCCGGCCATGACGTGCTATTGATCTCCTCGAGGTATCAATCACTGTTGGACCGTACCTTGGTCGGCCTCGGCGACCTCTTCCATTTCATGTTGGAGCTCACGACCCGCGTCCCAAAATCAAACTTCGTCGATTCGTATTACAGTCCGGGCTTCCTTCTGGAGACCGCGTGCAGATGGTCACCGAAGCGAGTCGAGATGGCGACCCGAGTGATTGTCGAGGCCCTAAAGAGAGCCGAGTTCAGGTGGATCTCAAGGCAGGAAGTCCGGGATGCCGCCCGTGCCTACATCGGCGACACGGGGCTATTGGACTTTGTTCTGAAATCGCTCGGGAACCACGTCGTGGGGAAATACCTGGTTCGTCGGAGTTTGAACCCTGTGACAAAAGTTCTAGAATACTGCTTGGAGGACGTGTCCAAAGCGAGTGTAGAGTCAGAAGGTTCAGTCACGAGCAGTTCGAATCTCAGAACTCGATCCAAGATCACTAGGGTTCAACTCATGAAGGACATGTTTTGCGTTTACAAGCGCATCTTCAAAGAGCGTGAGCTGGGAACCAACACCTGCATTAGCGACAACGTATCACTAGCGGCGAGGATCATCTTGGACTCCAGATACCTTATCAAAGAATATGTTGGAGATTTGCCATCCAAATTGGAGCTTGGTTTGGGAGGAAAGTTCAAACTATTTTGCACGGTTTTGTTGAGGGACACTGCCCGTTGCGAATGGAAGACTAAGCTGATGCCACCCTATGAATGCATTGTACTGAAAGAAAATGCCACCGTGAACGAGCTGAAGGTCGAGGTGGAACGGACTTTCCAGGAATTGTATTGGGGACTAAAGAGCTTCGTCGCGGAATCCATCGTCAATCTGAACACTAGCGGGTCGGAGATGATCTTCGGGCTTGTCGAAGTGGGACACAGGCTCGTGTTCGAAGGCAGCATCCGAGAGCAAGGAACGATCGCACGGGACGCGTACGAATGCGGGGCGGAGGGCGGCCGTGTGGTGGATTGCGCTTGCGGCGCCAAGGAAGACGATGGTGAGCGAATGATCGCTTGCGCCGTGTGCGAAGTTTGGCAACATACGTGGTGTGTTCAGATCCCGAACAGCGAAGAAGTTCCGGGAATATTTCTTTGCAAGAGATGTGAACAAGTAATAATGGTCTTACCTTCTCTGCCATAATTAACATCGCAGTTGATTATCTAACTTAAGAACTACAGTTATGTGCTGTTTAAGAATTAGTGATTGCAAAACTATCGAACTAGGTTAAATCGGAGAAGAAGTTGCACACTATACGTACCAATGCCCGGGGTTGGTCACCTAATGGGGTACTCCACCCACACTTTGCATGGATGCATAAAATATAGATTTCCTAATCATGTTTTATATATGGAGTTCTAATTGAATCCTAGCACAAAATATGGTACACTCCTAAGTTTACTTTAAGCAACTAAGGGTCAAATATACTCTCATCCCAAGAAATTCCAAAGTAAACTTTCTGATAAAATATGGAAACGATACAAGGGAATTCGAGGTGATTTAGATTTCACACGAGATAGGTGTTATTGATCATTTTATTTTAAAAAGTGTAACAATCAAGAAATTCAGAGAAGTTTAGTCTATGTAATATTTTTCCACAATTCCGGTTTAGAAACTTCGCAGGCATCTCAATTGGCTCTTGATTCCCGATTATTACTGTCACCCAAAATCGGAAGCTCGGACAAAACCAAAACAGTTCAAACAAGAAATAAATGTAAAAAAGTAAACCTAACATATCGGATTTATGTGGTTCGATAATGTGCCAACTCCACAAGAAGAGGTCGATGAGATGGTTCCATTGTAATTAGCAAACAGGATAATCATACTCACTCGCAAGTTTTTCCTGACCTCAACTACGTACAAGCATAAACACCCCGCAAGAATCCATCGAGATAATCTCTCGTGATAGGTTTCTCTTGACGGCTCCCCAAAAACTCTAGTCTGACGTCCGATGAAGGGAGGACCAGCTGGAATTTCCAGCTTTTACATCCTAGTCCAACGTCCAATCTTTTGGCCCCGGAGATCCATTCTTTCCGTTTCGGATCCACGGTAACCAAACCAACAATTGCTAATGGGCAAATCGAACATGAACAGCTAAAACTACTTACCGACAATCTAAAACCTAGCAGTCAACGAGAACTATCAGTATCACGTCATGCCATATCGTCAAAATATAGAGGGGCATTAGTAAAAAGAGTCTCCATCTTTCTGGCGTCATTTGCGTGCAATGAAACTCTCTTTAGAAAAGAATGCAAGAAATGTATATCCATTCCAACTTTACTAGAAAGTAATTAAATCTGGAATCTCAAGTTTATAAGCGTGTACATCGTGTGGTTGACGTTGAGGTTGAGGATCGTTCGAACTTGTTACACTAACAATGTCCCTTTCCATCCCTTTGCCACCGTTCACGCTCATGAGGTCGTTGCCGTCGTCGTCGAAGACCTCCCACTTGTTTGTCACGACGGTCTTCAAGACCTTCCCTGTTGACGGCACCAATTCGCTGCCGCCGCTCTCGCTCACCACGATGGCCTTGGTCTCCTCTTCACCTCCGCCGTTGACCATCCTCTCCACCTCCCGAATATCCTCCTCCGGGATCCGCTCGACCTTCGGGAACTCTGATGCGTTGAGCACTCCGTAGAACTTGCAAAACTCGAAGTACTCGGTGAGCTCGTCGCCCTGCACGTTCGCCTGCCGGAGCACCAAGAGCGCCATGGAGGCCTCAGCCTGCGAGGCCCCATAGATCCGGGAGAGGACCCTGGCGATCAGGTTGCACACCTTGCTGTACGTGTCGAAGATCTCGATGATCACGCAGTCCATGGCCTCGAGGACAAGCGTGCCGCGCATACCCTCGGCCTGCGGTCTGACCTGGAGGAGGAGGGCAAGGAGCGACTGCAGCCTCTGGAGCATCACGATCTCTGCCAGGATTGAGTCCTCGGGGCCGGCTGCCTTGACCTTGCGGATCTCTTTGATGTCGGCATAGAGGAACGCCGACTTCTGATCGAGGAAGTTGAAGTAGGCACGGACGAGCGCGTTGTGGCCCCACGTCTTGGAAAGGGAGGAGTGGCCGTCGGCGAAGTCGGAGAGATCGAAGGGGAGGCGCCCGATGCGCCGGACGGCAGGGACCTTGCAGCAGAAGACGCCGTGGAGGAGCATTAGGCACTTGAGGGCGACTGGCCAGCTGCGGGTGCGGAGGGCGCGGGAGGAGATGGCCCACACGAGGGGCTTGAGGTGGGTGGACGGGGAGGTGCGGGCCCACACGAAGACGCGCTGGGCGTTCCGGTAGTCGACTCGGGCCTCATCGTGGCTGGTGGCCTTGATGACCGCGGCCTCGAGGTCGGGGCTATGGAGGCTGGTCCGCCGCGAGAGGGCGGTGATCAAGAGGCTGTTCTGGTCCTTGAGAGCTCCGGCGGCTCTCTTCCACAGCTTCATCTCTCTGTCTCTCTCTTCTCTCTCGAGATCTCAACGAGGCAAACGCCCCCAACAAAACAACGCAACAACCGCAAGAACGAAGAAGACGTGTTTGATTATTTTTAGCCTTTGGCTGGTTGGGCTTTCGTCTTTCGTTTGTTTAATGTTTTGTAATTACGTGACAAACCAATTTCGAGGGTCAATAATTAGAAAGTGGGAGTGCATTTGCCGACCGAGGATGAGAAGGAATGAAGCTGTTGCGGTTGCGGTCGTTCGTTGGACTTGGACCCGAGAACGAGATGTTTGGAATTTCTTCAGTTTCGGTGTTTTGGCCTTTGGTGTTTAGTTATTCCTCTGAGGAGGACAAATGCCGAATTGTCGTGGATGGTGCCCCTCGGACTTCGTCAAATGCACTACGTGTCGACATCGATTTGTCACGTTGTGTTTTGGTCAAATTGCACTTCTTCCGCCTCTAAAACGACATCCCGCGGTCAACTGCGCAACGTCTGCTGCTTGTCAGGCTCCTTTTGTGGTGATCGTGCAGCCTCTTAAACTAAACTGCATATTCCCAAAATATGGTTTTTCTTATTTCTTTTTTCCTAGAATATGACTATAGTATTGCCAATTGTCACGCAATTGCGACTGAGTTAGCTCTATGGCACGGTATCTTTCGATGTTTCACCTTCTTTTAGTTTAGTGGATTTAGGATTTCTTGATGAGATATGATATCTACTTTTTTTTTTGGTCAGAATATGATATCTACTTGATATGCGCGTGTTTGGTCAGAATCATATAGGGTAGTGCTTTCAAAATTGAAAATTCGATTATGCTCCCAAGTGGATATACATATAGATGTATTAGAAACTTTGATAAACTTCCAAGTGGATATATATATATATAAGCAAAAGCCACTAAAATCCTGAACTATGTCTACTTTGATACATTTATCCTAAACTATTTTTTATGACATAAAAAATTCCAAACTTATATCTATATGACACATTTACCCTCTATCAAAGTTCTGTCAATAAAAACTGTTAAAAATCTACCTGTATAGTCACCAGAAAGCAAACAGTGTTGACATAACGTCCATGTGGCTTAAGTAGAATAAAAACGACTTTGTTTTGGCTGAAAAATCGTGTAAATGAATCTTGACAGAAGGTAAATATGTCTCATAAAAACAAATTTGAGATTTTTTAAGTCACAAGAAAAAAATTTAAGATAAATATATCATGGTTGGCATTGGTTGGATTTTGATGTCATAAAAAAAATTTAGAGTAAATATGTCACAATTAATATAATTTAGGGAAAATGACACAAATAGTCCCTGAACTTTGACCCAATGTGCAATTTGGTCCCTGAACTTTTAATTTGTTCAATGTAGTCCCTGTACTTTAACCTAATGTTCAATTTGGTCCCTGAACTTTGATTTGTTCAATGTGGTCCCTGAACTTTTAATATGTGTTCAATTTAGTCCTTGAACTATTTGAAAATGTTCAATATAGTCCTTCTATTAATTCAAGTACAGGGACTATGTTGAACATTTTCATATAGTTCAAGGACTAAATTGAACACATATTAAAAGTTCAGGGACCACATTGAACAAATTAAAAGTTCAGGGACCAAATTGAACATTATGTTAAAGTTCAAGGACTACATTGAACAAATTAAAAGTTCAGGGATCAAATTGCACATTAAGTCAAAGTTCAGGGACTATTTGTGTCATTATCCCTATAATTTAAAATTTTTTATGACTTTTTTTGCGTATGTGTCGGTAGTCGAGTTACCAAGTAAAGCTGCTTCTTGGAAATTGTTCCTAGTTATATTTCCCACTTTCCCTCTGGTTGGACTATTGAGTAAATACTTGAATCCTTGAAGCAGTCTAGATGGTTCAAAATGTCTACACGACAAGGAACAACATGACGGCCGTGTCAGAGAAGTACATATTACTGAGGTGGAAGAAATTTGTAATCAGATTAGGCAGCTTCAGGTTAACCAACTTATGGTTGAAATGAGACGAGGAAAAGTATTCTGAAGAGTTTTTTTTTTTTTTTTGATCGAATTTTGAAGAGTTTCATCATGTGAATTTTTCAATACCCAACAATAACACTCTTTGAAGAGCGGAAAGTGACAACCAACCAGAAGTTAACCAGCTCATGGTACAATGAAAATTCAGAAAGCCTTCTTTTTTAAGAGGTTATGCATTCGAGTCATGTCGTGAAGGAATCTCAAACAACTTGCATATTTGGGCACTTACTCCTTATATATAGAGATATCCTGATTTCTAGCACATGAACGCCCGCGATGATGTGCTCTTGACTTTATACTCTTGGGTTTTGAATTGATCGAGTGAATATTATTTAAATTAACACATCTTGCGATTGGAATTTCAAGTCGTCCCTCCCACTGTGACAAAAAAAAACCATTCTCTTTAAAATCTTGATATGAAATTTATCTTGAAACAAGAAAAATCCAATATAGCGCATAGGGTACGAAAATCGTTAATGATTGAATGGAATTCATTAAATCTCATTACTCGATAGTTCAAAACTCGAGGTCAAGTTTTCTCCAATATGGGGCAGCTTCAAGATTTATTGCCCGATGGATTTAAATTTTAGAATTAGAACTTCGATAAGATTTTTTTTTACCTTCTTTAGTTAAATTAATTTAGGATATCTAGACTGAATATGATTTTAACTTCATTTTTAAGTTTTGGTTTAAATTCTTTGGGTTAAACGATATTATATACTTATAATAATAAGTACCTTGAGTGCTTAATCAAAAGACTGGTCATTAAGCTAGTGAAATTGTTCCTAGTCATCCTTTTTTACTTCTCTTTTCCTTAGGTGGATTCTCACCATGATGGTCAGTCAACTAAATCTTAAAATTAGACTATTTAGGAGTTTTGAAATCTTTTATCGTAACTCGCACGCTCATTCAAGTTGCTGGCCACGACATCCTCGAAGGTCAAAAGTAATTGATCTTGATTATGGCAACTGAAAAGTTGTTGGCCATGTCCTCGGATCTAAGGTCTATTCCGGTCATTAATGACATAGGCTTAATTCGATTCACGAAAAATATGATATTTTTTTAAAATGTTATTTAAGAAGTCATTTTTCAAAAAATGATAATATTTTTTGGTGTTCGGCCGAAACCTGAAAATAAATTAGAAAATATTTCCTGCCGTTTGGTTTCTGATTTGATTTTTTGGGGGAAATTACCAAAAAATTCGAATTTTTTAGCTTTGAATTATTTTTATTTTTTTTCCTTTTCTTTATTTTTCTTTTTGCTTCTTCTTCAGCTGATCGCCGGTCACGACGACCGGTCACAGGCGAGCTCGAACCTCGCCGGATCCGACGAGCTGGGCAAGGCAAGGCCTTGCCATAGGCCAATGAGGCTCGACCTTGTTGGTCTGTGGCGAGGCAAAGCTTATGGCTAGCGACTGGCCGAGGAAGAAGCAAAAAAAAAAAGAAAAAATCTAAAAATAATTAAAACTTGAATTGTATTAAAAAATAAAAAATAAAAAGAAAAGGTGTTTGGTGAAACAAAGTGCTTGATCTAGAGGTGAAAGAAAGCGGAAAACATTTTCTCTACTTTCGAAGGTGTTTTTTTCATTGGCGAAAAATCTTTTCCTTTATTAGTTTATTTTTTGTGAATTGAGCGCTGGAAAATTCAAAAAATATTTTTCAGAAAGTTATTTTTCGTGAAATGAACGAAGCCTTAGAGCCTGTTTGGCAACACCCCTACCCTTTGTTTGGTGGGCCGGATAAAACTGTGGATAGGATTAACTTTTATCCTGTCCGGTGCTTGGAGTGCTCTGCCTCTCGCTCTTCCTCTCTTTTGCCCAGTGCCCACCATCATCTCTCTTTCTCGTTCCGATTTCTCTCACTAAAATGGCCACTGCTCCTCCCACCGGCGACGCCCTGCTTCCCGCCTTCGGCCTCTGAGAAAAGCGGCACCTGCTTCCTGCTTTCGGCCTTCAAGAAAAGCGGCGCCGCATCTCACCAGCCCTGCCTCTTCCTTATGTCGCTCAACTCCATCTTGGCAGGGAACGTCATGATCCCTATTAGAGCCCGACGCCTCCTCGCGAAGAAGATGATCCGACCAAAGGTGGCAGCCTTGGCGACAGAGCTCCTCGTCTGACGGAGGCGGCAAGGAAGATCTCGAGGTGAACAAGATCGGAGGAAGTAGCGGCAACAAAGAGGGAGAAGAGGATGCACATGGCGTCGGAGGCCAGAGCGATTCGAGGTGACGTTTACTTACGGTTTTACCAGTTGGTCCACGGCGACGCTGTGGTGTGGCAAAATGTTGCATGTTCCTGAATTCTCATTTCTTGTTTGGTTTTCGGATGGTGTATTCATAACCAAGGAGGTTCTATCGATGAATCCTGGTTTTGGCCTCTGCTGGCTTTCGGCAGCGATGCTGGATTTAATCAAGAGGCTTCAACGGCTCTCGTCGAAGGGGATGGATTCCCCGTAGAAGAGGAAGGTGTCGATGGTGGAGATGGCGGGATCGGCGGAGAACTCGAACTCATGGGGGTCTTAAAGCGGCAAAGTCGGAGGTAGAGCGAGCCAGAATTCGTTGGGTTGGTCGAGGGTTGCCAAAGGGATGTCAAGGAGATGGAGTCTTCGCCGGCGTCGTCGGAGTCACGAGGAAGATGGGTGTCTGACATGGATGAGGGATTGTAAAAGAATGAAAAGTTTCTATAGCTTCCATGGTTTATTTTTAATTTTGATCCTACAAATCAAAAGCTCATTTGGATAATATTTATTTAAATCCATATTATATCATTATCCAATCCAACATTATCCAATCCAGCAAAAAAGTCCGGATGACCAAACGCAGTCCTATTACTCTATTTTATGTTCTTTTATTCCCCGAAACTAAAGAAAAATATAAATTCGTTTAATACTGTCAGTTAATTTTTCTATTTCCCAGAATAGAAATTGGCCAGGGGAATAGATTTAGAACGGAAACAAGAAGTTAAAAAAGATCTACTTCTTTGTTCCCAAAAACAACTTTTGAAACTAGGTCATTTTCTTTTTTTCCTTCATTCTTCTTCTTCCTCCTTTAGCCGGTCGGAAAATCTTGATATCTTCATTAAGGTATGAAACCTCATAGAGATAGTCAATTTTAGAAATATTTGAAGTACGAAGATCTAAAGGGGCATTAATAGTGACTAGTTGGACTAGAATCAATAAAATCACTCATGATGGAAAATGTCTACCTTTTTTTGCTTAGTAATTCATCTAAAAACAAACGGGTGTGCTGGATAGGGCGTTGACTCTGATACCAGTAAAGGGGTGCTATGGCCGACGAGATCAACCTCGCCGAGCCATAGCAAGGTTGACCTCGCCATGGTTGGGCAAGGCTCAACCTCACCCAAATCTGGCGAGGCGGTGATGCTCCACCTTGCCCAGGCACGGGCAAGGTCAACCTCCCCAACCATTGTCAAGGTCTGGTGACCAGCTAGAGGAGGAAGAAAAGAGGAAAAAAACAAAAATTAAACAAATCTTAGAAAATTATTAAAAAAATCCACGTCACAAAAAAAATAATTAAGGTCGTATCTATTTTGAAAATTGAAATTTTGTACAGTTTCCAAACTCGTTCTTCTGCTCATAAACTCGTCCAGGAACTTCAAAATTGAAAAAACTATTTTTGAAAAAACATTGTCCCCAGAAACATGAAATGTTACCAAACGTACCCGACAGGTGAAGAGTGGATGATGGCCGATGGTGGCCATGACAGTGGGTGGCGGCATGGTTGTCCAGCTCGTTGAGGGTCTAGGTGAAGCTTGGGTGTTAAAATCACATGCAGTGCCCGGGCTGCGCTGCAGCAAATTCAAGGCACGAGCTCTCTGTTCATGTGCCCAACACGGAATCTCCTCAACAGCGATCGACAAAACAACCCGTTCTTTTCGGGAACTAAGCTTTCCTACCCTTTTCTTTCCCTTCCCCCTCCTTTGTTGGGCTTTATGGAAACGGGCTTGTGTGTATGCATACGCCTTTGCGCTCTTTACAGCTTACAGAAATGGGGGTGTGGGTGGCGCTAGCGAGCCGCTATCTCGTCCGTGCTTTTTCCGGCTCTCGCTTTCACGTGCTTTCACTGTGCACCCATCTCCTCTCCCCCCCCCCTCCCTCCCATCCGCATTCCCGCCGCCCGTCTTCTCCAGAACCCAAGAAAGGCGTAACGAGGGAGGAAAAAGCGGAACGCTGGTAAGATTTTCAACCCAGACACTCGTACTGTTTGCTAAAGCAAAGAAAGCGAAAAGAGAAAGCTCTTGTCCAACATCACCCCAGGCAGAAATGGAGGCGAGGACCCAGTTGTGAGAAAAGGAAAAGTTGCCCCCCTCCCGGAAAATGATAAAGAGAATGGTAAAATAAAACGTAAGAGACGACCAAAAAAAATCGATGAAAGAGGCAACTTGGTGGCATCTTTTTCCCTCCTCGCGACTGTGCGGGCGATCCCACTCCGCCACCGCTCCTTCCCAGGTTCTCCTTTTCATGCTCTCTGTCTGTCTCTCTCCCCTACAATATAAGGCTGAAGCTTCTCAATTTGTCTCCATGGAACTTTCATGTGGAGATGACACTGTGAGTCTCTCTCTCTCTCTCTCTCTCTCTCTCTCTCTCTCTCTGGGTTTAATTTACTTCAACTGAGGCGAGTTATGGCGTATCAGAACACAGAGGGACGGAGAGTTTCATTGACAGAAGGTGCACAGGGTAGGGGAGAAGGAGGTAATTGTATGGAAGTCCATCATCATCATCAACATGAGGTGGAGTTGGAGATCGAATTCTGGCCGCTGGAACACCCGACCGAGCCGCCAGACGAAGATCAGCCTGTGAAATGCCCCATGCTCAGCACTTCTGCTATTCCCGTAAGCATGCGTCCCCCCGAAAGTTGTTCCTCCATGTTTGACACCACGTTCGCTCATCTATTTGCACACAGGAAGGAAGCTAACTAAAAATTTCTTTAGAGAATAATCTCAAGAGAATTTGTCTGCCAATTGAAGCTGGTGAAAGTTGAAACTTTTTAGAACTACAGATTAGGGAATCGTTGAATTCTAAACGCGTTACAAGATAGATTTGCGTGTATCCTTTTCATGATGATGTTAATTGTAGGTGTGCATGTCACATGGCAATTATCTTTACGTATATTTGGTTAGATAAATTCGGTCATTCGATTCTTTTGCGAGTGAAAATTAATGCTGCTACTGAAGGGTACGCAAATGAATGAGGAGCAAACTGGGCAGAGCATGAGGAAGAGATCAGACGCACGGGAATTGGCGAAAATAGGGAAGGTCACGGTGGCTTCCGAACCATCCGTCCGACCACTGCGCAAGAGGCATCACACTCTAACCCATGGGGACATTGTAATAACCCCGCTAAGGACTATGCCTCCGCCGCCACCGCCGCTGCTGCCACCGCACAACATCACCATCTTCCAGATGCTTCAGCAGCAGTTTGACAGTCTCGAGAACTGAAAGATTACCGCCGCTGTAAAAGAGAAATCACCTGAACCTTCCACCTTTGCCTCTTCTGTCTATAGCACATTTAGTGGGGTTCTAATTGTCAAGCTACTATGGTATCAGATCTGTCAAAGAATTCTCTTGTTACCTGTTAAATTACCAACGATGTACTCGGAAAGGCCATATATGCATGTTATCGGTAGGTGAATTAAGTAGAAGTATTTGTTCCTGCTTATTGACACATACACATTATCCTATGGCACCGGCATGCCGAAAGCTCACACCAAGCAACTATGCTTTGAACAGTGACTTTCTAACTTTGGCTTGGGACTGTAGTTCCATCATGGTGTTTTTTCCTTTTCCCAATTTTCGTTCTCGATAACAACAATATATTATTATTGTTTAGATTATTGTGTCATGACTTTGACCGATTCAGGAATTTAACAGCACAAGAATCCTACTTATCACACTTGAAAGAGGAATTTCACCATCTTTACAAAACAAGCTTAATCCTCTAAACAACCAAAAAGCATGTGATATTGTTGAGACTAAGAGAGGGGACCAACACATGTAAAGAACCACTCTACAATTGGTTACGCGGAGATTTTAAGCATTTTGCCATTTTAAAGCTCGTATATGCACTTTTCTTCCTTTGGCCCTATCAACCGAATGGAGATATACAAAGACCATTTGACTGGACAAAGCAAAGCAACTGTATATGAAAACTTTACCAGGACTTTTGCCAGTTGCACTATTTGTCAATAGTACTATTGCATGTGAATTATGTATTTATGCATGTCTCCAGATAAAACTTTAACTATTGACAATACTGTGCTGTTAGTGAAAAGCATAACATCCCCACAAAAACCTTATCACGGAAGCATGTATTTTCTATGACAACTCTTGGAATTTTTCTTCATCCCTCATGAATACGCCCATAGACAAAACTGAGAAATGCCTTTTCACTACGTTTAGTTCTTTTCCACTCTTTTTCCTTTGAGCATCGTTATCCACAAGAATTATGTTGCAACAAATCAAAATATGTAAAAGAAGAAGGAAAGGACCTTGCACTAGCACTAGATTCGTTGAGCAATATCCCTCTTCAGTACTTCCGTCCTAGCAAGTAGGCTCGAAGACATGGCCAAGAATGACTTTCACCACTTCCTTCACTTCTTCTTCTTCACACAAAGCTGCAAACTTCACTGCAACAACAGAAAGTCAATTCATTAATATGGATTCATATTCAAACAATGAACCTTAAATATTGCAGATAATTAGGTTGAAAATCATTCAAATCAGTCGAAAAAGAGGTCCTAATGCTTTAAGGAGCAACACAGGGGAACCCCATCTTCCATGAAACAGAAGTAAGTCAACACTGGAATGTACTGGGTACTCAACATGCAGGAGCAAAAAATTCTTAGAAACATCCCAAGTTCTCCATTTTGACACTTCAGCTCGGCAGTTGTGCCAGTGAAAAATGATCTCGACAAGCAAATGTCACCTCCAATACCAATATGTCTGTCTATTCTACATGCTGACAATCCAGAAACAGTATTAAATCGAAGGTTTCAGGGTAAAATACTTAAAAATCCATTACATGTTCACTTGACGTGGAAATACAAGCCAACAGAATATCAGCAGAGCATATCAGAAAATTTATAGGCAGCTCAACCATCAGCAAAAGCAGTTCAATGTGAATGCAGACAATACACAAACTGTTTGTGTGAGAAAAAGAGAGTGGGTCAGTAATTTAATTAGATTAAGTGGAAGAAAAAAGAGGACTCACAAACATGAATATAATGTGCCTATACAGCAAAAGATCTTTTTAATGTAATATGAAGAGCTCTGGTTATATATCTTATGGTTAAGGTACATTATATTAAGGCTTAGTCCAGTAACAATTTGGTCACGGAAACAAGAAACTACCATGGAGAAGATGAAAAGGCAATAACTTGAACACGAAATAGTACCCCAAGCAAGAATTGGAAATTCCAAACTCTGTTTTGGGACTGTCATAAGATAGGAACAAACCTGCAAGTGATTGCAAAAGCTTAGCTAAAAACAGGTGTTTTCTTTATCTGAGTATATTATATCAGTTAAAACATGCCAAGATAGATGCAGCGAGAGGACGAGGAGAACGATAAAGCCTTGTCATCTCCTCCTTTTCATAGAGAAGATCCATGACATCCGTGCATGCTTGGAAACTCAAAAGCTTCCCTACTGCTGCGACTTCCCTAATTGAAGAACATGTAAAAACATTTAATGTACCTCAAAGCAGAAAACCATAAAGCTGGAAATTCATTTAACAATAGCCGAGGGAGGAAAAAAGACTTGCTTGAATTGGATGTGGAGTTGTTCGAGGAACATAAAAGCATCACTTGCAGATCCAATTTCAAAGTTCAGCATCTGAAATGACAGATCCATCATTCAATTATCGATCGACAATAGAGAAAGCAATGTTGATTCCGATTTCCAAGATATATACCTGCAAAAAGATCACTTCCTAGACAAAGCCAGCCTCATTAATCACAGCACGATACATAAATGAAGAGTAAGCTATTTTCAACCCTTATGGACGGTAATTAGCATACTCCTTCGAAAAAGTCTCGAGTTGTAAAATGTTGCTCGGTGATGATCCGATCCCCCCAAGTCTTCAAGGTTTTTACAGACAGAGGGCGAGACAGATGTATCTGCAAGATGTCAGACATCAAAGGATGACACAGGACAGCCATCTAAGTAATGTTATGATGATGCCAAAGTACCGGAATTTACTTTGCTCGAGATCCAGATAGAGACAAGTGAAAACAACTGCAGGTTGCTCTCTCTAATGGGCTGTAGTAGCCAGTGCTGAATGGCATTGCTCCCTTCAGACCTTTACAAAGGAAAGGTTACTTACTCAGTACAAAAAGAGCTGTCAGCAATCCCCATTATCACCCACTTTAGCAAGAAATCGCAAGCGTCGCATCGATCTCAAAAATCGATATCTGATCAAATTTGACGCGAAAAGAAAGGGATTCAAAAAGGCAATGAACGCAAAACAACAGCATCTAAACCTCCGGTTAGCAATTAAGATAAAGCAAACAACTTCACAAAAATTTTCATTCAAAGGCTCCTAAAACAAACCGATCAAACGCAGATTGCCCCAAAAAGAAACACACACAACCGAATCACAACAGTAACCGGTCCAATGGCTTCAAAGTTTTTTTCAGATTAACTTGCTGCAACCTTGCCAAGGAATTCAATCGGACACTCGTTTTCCAAGACGAATTCAACCTGATCTCGCTCAACACAACAAGACACCACTACTGAAGCTCCATTGTTTGAAAAATCCCGCGAAGCAGCACATTATCGTTCCAAACTGGAAATGGCGGAGCAGCGGAGACAAACCTGGCGAGAGAAGCGCAGAACCGGTCGGCGAAGAGCGACAGAGCGGTGTACTTGACCACCGGATCGACTCCGAGCCCCTGCACAAGTGGCATTCCGGCGAGTCAGCGTCACGAGAGGCGATCGGATCGACGGCGAGAGAGGAAACCCCCGCGTGTTCCGGAGCGGCCGGCGATCGACGAGGCTGCCGGAGCAAAAACTCACCTGCGCGGAGAGGATGAGGAATTCCGTCATCGGAAGTCGCCGGCGGTCGTCCGAACGACGCTCGTTCCGCTCCCGCGTTCTCCTTTGCGTCCTGCCGATTGCAAAAATTATTTACTTTCTATTTAAGGGGATTTATAAACTAAACTTTTTTTTCGGTCGAAATAAACTGAACTTTTTTTTTTGGCCTGTAAAATAAACTGAACTTAGTAAAGAAATATATATATATATATATATCTATTTTCAATTATACTGATTATGTATAATACGAAAAATATAGTATTTTGAGCATGCAAAATTCTTTATTAAATTTCGAATCGATATAATGTGAATGCAATTTGCATATTCCAAGAATAGATGTATATTTTTCTCGTATACGCTAATCTTACAAAATGCGCTAAACTTTAACTTTTTGATAATGCATTCTTTTATCACAATTCGCAGTTCCTCATAAATTAGTTCTGATTTCGAATAAAGGGGGAAATTACAAAAAAAAAAGTCCTAAATCCATTGCAATTGTGCCAATTAACTCATAAACCTTTCAACTTGGCCAATTTAGTTCTAAATCTTATGATAATTTGCCAATTAAGTTCTCAACCTTTCAATTAAGTCGATTTAGTTCTAAAACTATTGATAATTTGCCAATTTAGTCCTTCCAGCAAATTTTGACCGAAAAATTGCCAACATGGCGGTCTAGCCAAAATCGAACATCCTGCATGGCACAACCAGTACTGACATGGACAATTTTTTAAAATTTTCTATTCTTTTTTCTTATCTTTTTTTCTTCTTTTCTTTTTTCTTTCCTTTTTCTTTTCTAACCTTGGGCCGGCGATCCTCATCTAGCTAGGCAAGGGCATTGCGGCCCACAGTGACTGGGCCAAGGTTTGAAAAGATAATAAGAAATTCAGAACAATTTTGGAAAAATTATTAACATCAGTACCGACCGTGCCATATAGAACGATTGGCATTGATTAGGTCGCCAAGTTAGCGTTTTTCGTCCAGAAGGACCAAATTGGCACTATTTAAAGATTTAGGACTAAATTGATAAATCGTCAAAAGTTTTAAACTATTGGCCAAATTAAAAAGTTGAGGATTAAATTGGTATTGCAATAGATTTATGACTTTTTTAGTAATTTCCCCCCTTCGATCATTGAAAATTCAGAAATTCAATGCATCATTATATTTAGATTCTATATATATATACTCTTGTGGTGCTTCATTACACAACATATATGAGATCCACATGTATAGGTATCATCATCTACACATCCAAAGCAGCACAACTTGGGAAGGAATTTTCAATCGATGATTAAAATCGCAGATTATTGACTTGATTGCGAAACCTACTAAATAATTGACCTCAAATAAAATTATCTACTCATTAAGTGACCTTAAATAAACTTACTCAAATTCAACTAATTGAATGGGTAATGAAAGGAAATTACCTAAATATTTGTTCATTTTGCTATAAAGTATCCAAGATTTTAAAGATTTTTTTTTGTTTGTTCTACTATAACTCGCCTTTCTTTCTAGGACTTTTACTCTACCTCATTGCAAAGCGTGGGATTCAAACCCTACACTTGAAACTAAGGGCGCGAATGATAACTATTATGTTTCCCTACTTTTCTATTTTCTGTTCCTATAACAGGTTTAGAATAGAAATCCGTTTGACAATGCAACTTCATTTTTTTTATTTTTAGAAGAAATTTTTAGCCTAGAAATAGATTTGGTACAGAAATGAGAAGATTTTTTTTTTACTTTTCTCTTTTTAGAACAGAATCAGAAATAATAACTCTTCTTATCGCTCGCCCTTGCCACCCGTCGCCCCCTACTGCCGCTGTTGCCGGCCATCCGATGGTTGCCGGGAACAGGAATTTAAGAATAACCTATCAAATGAATTTTCTATTCCGGGTGAAACTATATTTAACATGGCAGCAAAGTAAAACTATTTCTCCCTTGAAAGTTGTCTAGGAAATAGAAATAGAAATATCTATTTTTGGCCAAATATTAGGCCAAGGAAGAGAATGGTTTTCATTCGCACCTGAAACATCTCCACCCCACCCAATTCTCTTACTACTGGCCCGCATGTCTAGTAGGTGAGGCTTCAAATGATTATCTAGCCTTTTCGTGGCAAAAGGATTAGACATCCCCCCATGTCACGGCTCCCGATCCATTGCATGACATGCTTCGCTCATGCATTCCACCCGCTAGCATAGACGTAGTGCTTTTCTTCATATTTTTAATCAAGTATCTCAACTTTCCAAACGAAACTCAATTTAGTACCTCTCTTAAAAAAATTGCCACATCAAATGTGTATTTGCTCGAGGACTCGCTTACTCAACAAAAATGATGACGTGGCTTGCTTATTCAGCAAAAATGTTAGCCAGAATTTGCAACTGATATTTAAATGGCTTATATAATGGGAAAATTTTAAAGAAGAGCATGGTGTGGCACCATTTTGTTTAAAGAGGGCCCAAAGTAAACCTTATTTCGAATACGTATCTGAAATTGACAAATTAGTATTAGGAAAAATTCCAAATAAGGGCCTGAAGTGCCCTCATTTTCTTAAATAAGGGTCCGAAGTGGTCTTTGTGTCAAATAATGGTCTAAAGTGACATGTGAGTCTCAAATAAGGGCCTAAAGTGGCCATGAGAGTCCCAAATAAGGACTTGACCTCGCTAGTCGCTCGCGTGTTGCCGACCGGCAAAATATTCAAGTCAATCAAGGGTATTTTTGTCAAAAAAACCATTTTAATTTTAAATTATTTTTATTTCTTTTTCGTTTTCTTTTTTCTTTTCCTTTTTCTGGTTTTCTCTTTATTCTTCGCCGGTGGCCAGCCGACCATTGGCAAAGCCCAAGAAGGGCTGCGCGAGGGCGACCCTCGCCTAGATTTGGTGAGGGTTGGCCTTGCCCAAGGCGAGAGTCGCCTCGCCCATGGCGAGCGAGGTCGTCCCTCGCCTGTTGCTGCCAAGGCGACCCTTGCCCAGATCCGACGAGGGCCAGCCTTGCCCATGGCTGGCGAGGGCGGCCTCGCCTAGGGCGAGAGTCGCCTCACATAGATGAGGGTCGCCCAGCCCTTCCCGGGCTTCACCGGTGGCTGGCCATTGGTAAAGAACAAAAAAAAAAAACCAGAAAAGAAAGAAAAAGAAAAAAAAAGGAAAAAAAATTCAAAAAAAGTAAAAAGACGAAAATACCCTTACCATCCAATAAGCGAGACCTTTATTTGAAACAAAATCCACTTCAGACCCTTATTTGAGAAAATTAGGGCACTCCAAACCTTTATTTGAGAAAATGACGACACTTTTGGCCCTTTTTTGGAATTTTCCCTTAGTATTATATAAGGGCCTAAGTGTTCGAATCCCGGGCGCCGCAGGGTGACTTAACCGGTGGCACGTGTGTGGTGGCTAGCACGTGTCGCCCCCAGGGTTTACTCCCCGGCTGTCGGCCGTGCGGGGGTTCCCTGGGTTACAAAAAAAAAAAATTTATATAAGGGCCTAAACTCAACGATCAGATGTTCATCGACTAACGATTTTCCGGTCATTGGAGCAAGGGCAACTTTGTCAAAAAAAAAAAAACCTCCAAATAAAAGATAGCCAAATACCTCAAGACAAAAATCCCCACGATTGAATGCAAAAGTTTATTTTCAAGTTGGGATAATGACACAAACAGTCCCTAAACTTTGACTCAATGTGCAATTTGATCCATAAACTTTTAATTTGTTCAATGTAGTCCCTGAACTTTAGCCTATTGTTCAATGTGGTCCTTAGACTTTTAATTTATTCAATGTAGTCCCCAAACTTTTGGTACATGTTCAATTTAGTCCATAAACTATATGAAAATGCACAATATAGTCCCAGAATTTAAATTAATAGACGGACTATATTGAATATTTTTATAAAGTACATGGACTATATTGAATATGTACAAAAAATTCAGGGACCACATTGAACAAATTGAAAATTCAAGGATCACATTGAACATTAGGTTAAAGTTCAGGGACTATATTGAACAAATTAAAAGTTCAAGTTCAGGGACTGATTATATCATTTTCCGTTCCAAGTTCTATGAGACCTGTGTGCAATTCCAACTTATCACCTTAATTGTGATCCTAGCTTTATGCAAAGCCTCCGCCTCTAATTCAAAAATTGTTTTGGTCGTGTCTATCATTTTGCCTCCGTGATCTAGCCACATCTTAGTATTATTGTGTTGGTAGACCTCATATAGGAGAGGGTGGCACTGGATGGAGTGGAGGACCTTATGGCCGCAAGGGAAGCTGAGTTTGCAGTGGAGCTTCCCGTCGTCGTCATCGTGGGGATTTTTGTCTTGAGCTATTTGGCTATTTTTTATGACAAAAGTACACCTGCTCTAGCGACCGATGAGGTCACACTCTTATTTGAGACTGATTTAGTCACTTCATATCTTTATTTGAAACAAAATTTACTCTAAACTCTCTTTTAAGAAAATGACACGATTTCATATCTTTATTTGAAATTTTTACTTAGGTAATGTGTCATTGTTGACACCTAAATTTTGTTAATCCAATTAGTCATTTATTACATATAAAAATTAGGGATCGACCCTGACCCCTAAACAAAAATATTAGTTAAATTGCAAATAGATATTAGGAGTATTTGCATTAGTAATTAGGCCCATATAATTGCATTTGCATTAGACCGGCGGAGAATGGACTCAAGTGAATGGTTTTGAGCTTAACTGGACTAAGTCCACAGTGGCTAAAATCATATGTGTCAAGTCAGGAAAATCTAATGAATATTTGAAACAATAAAGCTTGATATTATCAAGATTTTTGGTCACAAATAATGCAATTGGCGTGGATTCCTAGTATGTTCATACATGCTTAACTATTTGAAGGAACAAATATAAAGAAGAGCATTGCGTACGCGGCCACTGATTTGCATACGGAGAAGCCCATCCACGCTTGGAAGGAAAATTATGCATTGAGCCGTAAAATTGAGCAAAATTCAGTCAACATGGGGAGGGCAAGAAAATTGATCAGCATTGAATAAAGAGGAAAGAACTCATGCATGATCCTCTGGCCATGTTCACGCAATATTGGCAGTATAGCAAAAAGGAGAAGAAATAAAAATC